GGTAACAAACAAAAATCTACTGATGCTGGCAAACCTCTCACTCCTCAGGGGAAAATAATTCTCAGTTATACAGGTAGTTTGACCCACTAATTATCCATCAAATAATGGGGAGACGTGAGGGTAAGAGTTGCAAGTGCTAACAAACCTCCCAGAATGCTCAGCACTTCTCTTTATGGGGAACACCCATACCCACCTTCACAGCTCTTCTGTAACATGAATCAGTTAAGCATAAATTCTGTTTGCTTTGTTATCTTTCAAACAATCAGAGAATAACTTATAAAATACATATACATTACGGTGAATACGAACAGTCCCCCTCTCTCTCTCACACATGTAAACAATTCTGATTTGGAGACTGAAATCCAACCAAAATTTAATTGTGCCAATTCTTCACTTTTTTCCCATGTAACTCTACAGATGGTACTCTTGGTTTGCAGAGATATTTGAGCCCTTGCTGACCAAAACATTAGTGATCAGCCAATAGGAACAAAGCACAATGGGTCTCAGAATATATATATCTATGAGATGTGCTAATCTAAATTACCCGTGTCTGGTCACTCAACACTTGGTTCAAAGGGTCAAGTGGCAGAATTCTTGGGTTCAGAAGCTTTTGTATTTGTGTGTATGAGTCTGTGGGAAGAAGATTTTAAAGTAAAAGTAAAGAGATCCTGCTGCCTTAATAACAGGAAAATCTTCTGAAGCTGTGAGTAGCTTGGTACGGTAGCTGACTTCAGCAGCAGGCAATGCTTTATAGCAGTCTGCCTTTACCTTCAATAGGAAGACATGCTAGGGTGCATTTCAGGGGCCAATGACATATTCAGAAGAGGAAAAACAGAGATAAGCAGAGCACTGTAATCTCCTGTCTGAAGCTGAGAATGACGAATTCTCCAGAAGCCGTGTTTTGTAGTTGATTACATTTCTCATTGCCCACTGCTCTTTTTTATAGGTGCTGTCTGGCTTTTTTCCTGAAGCCGTAACTCACACTTTCCAAAAAGAGAATGAGTTTCTTGAAACTCCTGTATGAATTCTTGGAGGAATTCTATATTCTCTCATCATTCTGATGAGAATTTTTCCCAGACTTTTTTTACTGAACCATAAAATTAGGACTGTCTAATAGCAGCATGTTCAGCCACTGACTTGGTGGGGAAGGCGAATGAGAGGTCTGTGCATTGCTACTGAGCAACAGAGAACCCACCCAGCCCTTCTAAGCCACAAAGAGCTTTGCTGACTGCAGTGTGAAATCTTTAACTACAGTGGAAATGGGAGAGCCCAGACAAACTTGGAGAGTAAAAAATAGGATGTTACGGGTATATTTACTGGACCTTGAGCACCTCCAAGCCAATATCCAAGTGCTACCCATGTAGGGCAGAGCTTTCCTACTTGCACTCATGCATTAACACCCTGCTTTTTCACTTAAAGCTTCAGGTAGCATTTAGCTCCATATTTATACTGACATGTCTGTGCTGTTAACGCTGCAGGACTATAACATTACAAGAAATGTTTGCCACACCACTGGCAGCAATGAATTCCCGACTGGGAGATCCAAATTTGCAAACTCAGTATTCTGGGCGCTGAGCCAAGACCGTCTGGGTGCACTGCTGAGGTGACACATTCAGTCTCCTAAGAGGGATGCCAACATACCAGCTGCATCCCTGGCACACCATTTTCTACTGACAAACTTATGGAGTGGAACTGTTACCAACTCCAGAGGGAGACGCAAGCTGCTTTCTTAGCTTCTTTGGCAGCAACAACGTTTTCAAGTTGTGACTGTGCATTCTCCTATTTACAAGGACTGTTGTTTGTGATACACTTTGCTCTCTGTTTGGTGGTATTTTGAAAAAGTGCTAAAATGACAGAATCACTTCAGTTTCCAAATATAAACCACTGTAATCCAGAGTAATTTGATCTCCATAAGCAAAATACCATACCCAAATGTACAGCCGCTCATCTGTAAAATGTAGCTTCCACTGTGGAAAAATCTAAATCCATTTGTTAGAATAAGACTTGTATTTGCCAAGCGGAAGTCAATATACTTATTGTGTAGGTCTGATCTCTAACTTTCCATCTCTAACTTGCCATCTGACCCTCACAGCTAGGTGTCTCTAATGGCCATTATTACTTTCCTAAAGTACAAGAGAGAAATCTGCCACCTAAAAACCCTCTGGTTTTCAGCAGGTCTGGATCACCCAATGCAGCTTGCACATAAATTGCAAAATCCACTAGAATCCAGCCAATTAGTATCAAAATTGTGTCACATACAGATGAAGATCAGCCAGACTACAGAGAATGAACATTGTAAATTACCATTCACTTTCTCTCATTCTGAGCTAAAGTGGAAGAGTGCAGATAAGCTATTGCATAGAGGAAGACACAAAGAGAAAGAGAGAAGATTTCATCTGAGTATCTTTTGCAGTGCATGTCAGGGGGGGAACTGGTACATAGTGTGTAGTGTTATCTCTGGCTGCATACAAGAGCCTTAGTAAAACTCTGAAAAATAATTTATATATACCTGCAATGGAAAAATATACTGTTTGTGCCCTCTGTTTGCTTCTTCATGATTTACAAAAAAGGCAAGAAATGCTTTATATAATTTAAATAAATATCCATGGGTGGGGTTCTTGATTTTACTTAGGAAATTCAGATATACTGAAGTCTAAGCTATAGTCTAACTGAAGTCTAATACTGTAGTCTAAGCTGGAAGGTTCTATGACAGACTAATGAAATGATGACAGAGAAAAGCCTTGTGATCAGCCTGTTTAAAATGCTCTCTCTCTTTTTCTTTCTCGTTAACCGTGTAACTTTGATGTTTATTGAACATTTTGGAGAAAGGATGTCTTTGTTAAAGATTCAACACCCTGAACTGTTCCATTAGATGTAAAAACTGATCATATGAATCCTCTGACACATCCCATAAGTTTTCTAGGAAGATTAAAGTTGAAATTAATGAAATATTTCTAAAGGCATAAAACAAAAAGAAAAAACCCTTCTTTTAAAACCCCCACAACCCTCAGACCTTTTACTAAATCATAAAGAGATTTTTTAAAAAGTGCACAAGCCCAATTAAAAAAAAATAACAAAATCTTTACAAGTCACCTTTTACACATGAAACATCTGTAAAAGTATCTCAAAAGGAAACATTTCCTCTTTGTATTTCCATTACTTTGAAATGGGACAGTGAAACTTACTGGCTGAGCAACTGCTACTAGAAACTTCAGGTGTACCTAAAGAAATGCAAAAAGAAAAGGAGTACCTGTGGCACCTTAGAGACTAAAAGAAATGCAATTATCACAATATTTCACATAGGTTAATGCTTACAGTTCCATCAGTGTCAGCTTTATTTTTTACTGGATATATACCAAAGCTGGCATACAATTTTAACTGATGTGGGAATATCATTTTTAATTTAAAGAGCCTTAAGCTGGCCATTTTAACTAGTGATATCATCTTTGCAGTTATCTCATGGGACTTCATGTAAACATAAGTCATGTGCCCAAGGCAGTTTGGATCAGGGTTATTAAAAGTGACTTTGGTCATCATGAAGACATTTTTTTCTTTGACTCTAAAATTATCAGATAAAGTTTATATTACTGCTTTTTTTAGCCATTTCTGGTATATTAATATGTCTCAGAACATTTCAATGCACATAATAGAAGAATAAAAGGCTAAAGCAAATTAACTGCATCATTTTAATGTCAATTGTTGTAAGATATGAAACTTAAATGAAATTGTCTGGCTAGCAGCAACTCGATAAATAAAAAGGCAATATGGATGAGACAAAAAAATACACCACCTTAGGCACACAAAAGCTTTCCAATGTCTCAGCCTCTTTATTATTAGAAATGGGCCCAAAAAAATATGTGCATACAGAACACCACCACATTTTAGGAAAGGTTGAATCTGGTTCTGTAAGTGGCAGCTGTTCTCTGTCTCTACCAGGGGCTGACACAAATCTCCAGAATCATCCACCAATGAGCCTTTGAAATCCTTGGATCTGGGCCAAGTCCTGCAGCTCAAGGCTGTTCTTGATTATTCTTCTCTTTATAAGGCTCAGGCTTGCCTGTTGCTGAGCCCCTTTAACTCCACTGAAGTCAGCCTTGCAGAATCAGGTCCTTGAAGATGACAAATCTAGTTTAGAGGACTGAGAAACTTTGTAGCACCACTATTGTCCCCAGACAAACATTTGCTATTAATCATTATTGTACACTGATAATGTATGCAGGAATCAAGCAGATATACAGAGGATGAGGACCTAGTCCAAAGAGTTCAGTGATCATATACTATATGAATATGAATGTTATAACAATACATTCATTTAAACCAACTCAATTCAAATATCTAAACAAGAATATGTTAAAAAAACACTTTTGTCTGAAGGAAATCAAGTGTTATAATTAAAGTGTGGATTGTAAGATTTGCTCAGTTTCTGTCCAACTGACATGGAAAATGACAGATTTTCTGCCAGTGGTCTGGAACATAGTGGAGTTTTCAGCTAAATCAAATGTTTAGGGATTCATTTATTATTCTGTGGCCATATATTTAGAGGGTAGTGTACAGAAATCAAAGTATTGTTCATAGAGAGCGCCAGCCAAAGAGACATTTTGAATTCATAACAGAACTTCACAGTTTGAAAAGAATGCTATGCATTATGTATTGATAACACCACCATAGACAAAGGAACACAATTTAATAATACAGAATTGTGCTCATGAGATTTCCTTTTTTTTTTTTTTTTTTGTTAATTGGTTACTTAAGCTGACATTGTCTGCAAGCATAATGGACGCCATTCTTCCTAATAGTTCCATGTTGCCAGATGATGTCTACAGACATGATGTAGTCCATTTTAATTATTTCATTTTGCTTACATCTCTCAGCATAATGCAGTTTCCAAGCAGGCTAGCATTTTTCTTGATTATCTATGTTGTATAGCGATGGTTTCTAAATTAATTAAATCTCTTTCTTTCCTGGAAGTTAAAAGTTTCTTTCTTCCATTTATCCATCAGGTATGATTACGTTGAAGTGATTGATGGAGATAATGCAAATGGCCGCGTATGGGGAAAGTACTGTGGAAAAATTGCTCCCGCTCCTCTGGTGTCTTCAGGACCATTTCTCTTCATTAAATTTGTCTCTGATTATGAAACTCATGGAGCAGGATTTTCCATCCGCTATGAAGTTTTCAAAAGAGGTGAGTAAACTATTCATTATTATGTAGCTCATAGACCATGGTGTTTGTTTTGTTTTCATGGAAACATTGATCATAGTTCTTGAGGACAAAAGGAAGGCTATGTCTTTTGAAAAAACAAAAATTTGGTTGTAGATTAAAGTTTTATTGCTAGTGTCATCCACACACTTAGAGCAGGTTGTCAGCTGGTGTAAATTGTCATTTCTCCAGTGCATGAGCTCCAGTTAAGGATCTTCACCTCTAAATCCAATCTGATAGCCTTCAGCGGCATGTTTTCTACAAAGTTGTTTATTTAGATTTTTTTTTAGTTGTTGATTTTCTTTCTTTGTGTTGACTGTCATCCTATGATGTATAACGTTTCCACCTTATCACACTGTAACCTTTGCAGTCCCTTGCTTATTTGGTTAGTGCTTTGCTCTGCATTCCCAAAAGATATCCATGGGCTCAGAATGGACCTAGCTACACATGGCCAGCAGATGATGGAAGGATCAGAATAGTGTCACTTTCAGCATTTGTTTTTTGGAGGCAGGGGAAAGAGGCAGTTCACACTGCTTTCAAGCACATCCTGGTGGCTGACTATATAAGAACTTCAGTAAAGGCTGCCAAGCATGGGCAGCTGTATGTACAGAAGAAAACATCTGGGAGAGAAACTACCCAGGATTAATAGGCTCAGCAAAAGGCCCCCACTCTGATCAGCTCATTTGCTGAGTCACAGGCTGTAGGATGGTGAGATCATTTTTGGCATACACCTTAGCTGTAGTTGGATGGAGATAGATAAATCACACATTAAGAAGCCAGGAAGCCCCAGACCAAAACTGGATAATAAAGGCATAAATACACAAATAGTGTTACTTTGTAGGAAACAAGGTTGTCTTTGACAACATAAGTATTTGGGGCTAGATTTTCAAAGTTCCCAAAGCTCAGAATTTCAAGTGCTCAATGCCCTTAAGTGAGACCCACATTTTCAAAAAGAGCTCTCATTTATGCACCTAAGTCAGGGACACATTTTTAAATGTGCTTAGCACCCAGGAGCTCCTATTGTGGCTCCAATGGCCAGATTTTCAAAAGAATTCAGCACCGAATGTGCTGAGCTCTTCTGAAAACCTGGCCACTTATTCTGGTGCCAGAATGGGAGCTGACCTACTCTGAAAATCTGTCCCTTAGATTTTTAGTGCTTGCCCCCTTCCTCTCTTTAAAAAGAGTTAAAATGCAAGTGCAAGAAAAAGCAACTGCAAAAATGACCTGTGAAACAAGCTGTTTTTGAAAGTGAACATTTTCAGATAGACACCTTTTTCATAATAGTCTAGTGACAACACAGTACACTAACAAGAATATTGCATTTATTTCCCCATGTGATCATTTAAATCTCACACTGATATGCATTAGCTGTGTTAAGGTAACATTACAAATAACATTTTATATACACAGAAGTCAGGACACTCAAAATTATGGCTCCCAAAGCAACTTTAACTCTGGTTGATGCTACATATACCTAATATTAAAGCACAAAAGTTATCACCATCTACAGAGGTGGAAAATATTACATATGTGCTAAAGGTATGAGTTACTGTTGCTGTGGGAATATGGATGTTGAATTTCCTGACTTTTGCACATTTAGTATCTCCCAGATAATGTTAAATTACTGTATATATTAAATGCATAATCTACATATTGAGTAAGTAAATAAATAAATACAATGCCAAATAAAGCCGATCAGTATATTCTATTATATAGATACTTACTAACATGGCCAACTTGACCTTATTACTCAGGCACCTGCCATAAGACATTCTTCTCAGCTCCACAGACATGAAAGGAAATTCCAGATAAAAGATCCAGACCCCAACAAATATAGCATAAATGTCATATGTGGTGCCAAGCTTCACTGCAATACACGTGGGGATAGCCATGAACAATACTTTGCTGTGCGCCTCTGAGGGCATCCCCCAGCTCATTAAAGTTATGTTACCCCACCTCTATAACACAGTTAGGGCTAATTTTGAAGGTGGTATTGCGCGGGCTCTATAATCAGGGACCTGCTACTCAAATCCTAAACAGAGAGACTTACCCTCAGCAGCAGCAGCCACAGAGAAGATTCAGACACACCCCGTGCTTGGAGTCTAAGATTTTATATATGACAGGAGGATGAGCAAGGGAGTGATGTTGGGGAAGGAGGTGTTGCCCAATAGCCAGGATCTCAAACTAAGGCTTGGCCTGCACTAGAAAATTAGGTTGGTTTAACTACATCATTCAGGGGTGTGAAAATCCAGACCCCTGAAGAGCATAGTTAAGCCAACCTAATTTCCCATGTACACAGCGCTAGGTTGATGGAAGAATTGTTCCATCAACCTAACTACTGTCTCTCAGGGAGGTGGATTACCTATGCCAATGGGACTCCCCGCGCCTCCCTGTCGGCCTAGGTAGTGCATCTCCACTGAAGCGCTACGGCTACAGCTGTGCTGCTGTAGCATGTTAACTGTAGACAAGCCCTAAGAAGCCAGCTGAGAGCTCTGAAATGAAGCTCTCAGCCAGGAAGGACAGGGGATCATCATGCTAAAGGACATTCCCTTCCCAGGGCTGGGCAAATGACGTGCAAGTGGGTAGCAGAGACGTCTGGTATCCTCTCTCCCTCTCTCTTTCTCTCCCTCTCTCTCACACACACACAATCACATGCACAACCTCCCCAACTCAGAACTGGCTATTCATTGGATGCCTCTGACAAAGCCCCTTATCCCTTCCTCCTCCCGCCCCCTCTCCCATATTCCCCCAGTGTGTCACTTCATGGAGTCCACTACAGCCTCAAAGCTGGTTTAACTCCTGTAGTCCCTGCGCAGGGAAAATAGAGGATCAGGATCTATGGAGGGCATATTGATGAGGGGTCTCATTTGAATGAACTTTGTGCCCTTGTAGCATGTTGGTTTGAACATGCTCAAAATGAGTCAGGGTACTGCTGAAACACAGGTGTGAGGGTAAGGGCCTACCTAACACTCCTTCATCTTGCAGGTCAGGATCTGGCTCCTTATTTTTAATACCACAATAATGACAATGACTTACATTTGATATAGCACCTTTCATTTAGATTCTCGGGGGGTCATAAAGCACTTTACAGAACAAAGGCATACACAAAAAATATGGCAGCGTAATGCATCACCTGTCAGCTGAAGAGTAGCAACTATTTAACAGCAACCACAGCTCTACACAACAGTGTATGAGAGGGAGTGAAGATGAATACTCTATACCATTGAAACTGGAGGGGGAATTTTAATTTTTGGTAAAATGTAATTTCCCAGACTGGAATTGGCCATGCCACTGGGGCTTCAATATCAGCATTCTTCCAAAATGTGTCATGACCCTTTTTAAAGGCCACAGGTGTTCAGGACCTGAAATTAATATCTAATATTTGTGTCTAATTAAGGACTGAAATAGCTGAGCTAACCCTCCAGATCTACCTATCTCCTAAATGTTGAGTTTACTCGCAGGGTTGCCAAATCAATGTGAAATTGTATGTTTTGCATCATTTTCAAAAGCACCACTTCTTATGATGTGATGGGTATTCATATACATATGTATGCAACAAGCCAGATTGTTTACAGTAAACAACTTAGGTTAAGGACTGGAAATTCTCAAAGGTTCCCTTACTGAGTTTGCTGACGACATTCTCCAAGGGAGTAGAGCATCCTCATGTGGATGAAACTGGGGGTTCAGCACCCAAAATCTGCACACTCCTCAGTTGTCATACAGCATTGATATTAGGTGACTTCTATGATGTGACCAGGGCTATCCACATGCATTTGTGTTGGCTGTTTGTTGCCTGTGGTCCTTACCTGGCTTCATGGCAAAACAGCTCCATCTGGCTTCTGCTACCAGACTCCCGAGAAAGCCGCTGTCCCCACCTTCCCCTATCCCAATCTCCATTAAATGCGGGGGCAGGGAAGCGGCTATGTTCGTGTAAACCATGCTCACTCAATGTTGTGCTCTGTCCCCCTCTAGTGATGGCTAGGCCACTTAGAGATTGATAAGCCTAAAAGAGAACTGGCTGTTTTAATACCAACAGTTGAGGCTCATGCACTAAGATCCAGATGTCTCATGTTTGGTCTCGATTGCCCACAACTCATCCAGGGGTACCAGCAGTACATTAATATGGTGAGAAAGTTGTGTAGGCAGTGCCTGAATCCCACTCTCAACACACCTGCGGAGCTGGAATCCTGTGGAAGGGTTTCTATGGGATATGAGGAATGGAGAAATATGGCCTGCCAGCAAGAGACCAGATAAGGATTTTGTCCCCTACATTTATGAAGGCAGATGCAGTGATCTGGCCTTTTATATTCACCCCATTGTCATGCTTTGCTCAACCAACAACAGTTTTTGGAACACCAAATTAAGCCAAGACTGGTACTTTGGGGAAGGTTAATGTGTCAACATTGATATTAGGTGACTTCTAGCAACACTGCCCGTAATCACACAGTTTATCATGCCTTCACTAACAGCAACACTTTACTGGTGCACCTGTGTCAACACCACTCAGAATGAGTCACTCACCCTTGGTACATGTACGAATTACCTTTCACATTTAGTTTGTCAAAGAGGCATAGGTCACATCTGGCAGAGTTACTGAGTCACTGCTCTAGGAATCTGAAACCACTACTCCCTCTACTGAATTCACTCACTCGCTTTTGTAAAACATTCTATTTCACCAATAAAAGGCTGTCAACCTTAAGATTTAAAGATTTAAGCTTGAAGGGGCTATAATTATTTCTCTGGGGCTCTGTTGAGATTTCTGCAGCTTACTCTTTCATTGTTCCCACATGACTTCGTATTTGTCATAATTTTTTTTCTAGAGCTGGCACAAGTTTTCATATTGCTCTGCACAGATTGAAAATTGGAGATCACACAATAAATGTGAATTACATTTTAATACCTGACTATCAATAATAGGAACAAGCTGGCTGGATGATTAATACAGTGATTAAAATGAGGTGTTTCATTGAAAAGCCACTTTGCTGTTAGAAAGACAAAATGACCTAATTTGTTTTCTAGTTAACCAGCTTGCTTTGTAAGATAGTGCTAAGTTAAGTATTTTTCTTCGTCACACAGGACCTGAATGTTCCAGAAACTTTACTTCACCAAGTGGAGTGATAAAATCTCCAGGATTCCCTGAAAAATATCCCAATAGCCTTGAATGCACATACATTGTCTTTGCACCAAAGATGTCAGAGATTATACTAGAATTTGAAAGCTTCGAACTAGAACCTGATTCAAATCCTCCTGGCGGAGTGTTCTGTCGGTATGACCGATTGGAAATCTGGGATGGATTCCCCGAGGGTAAGAGAAAAATGAGCTGCAGTATATGGAATCATTACTCCACAGTGAGCTCCAGAAGGCGCATTGTCATATTTTCAAATATTGTATTACAGAGGGTCTTCATTTGAGTGAAACAAAATGAGTTGAATTTAAGGGGTGGGAAAATACACTTTAATTGCACACAATACAGCACATAACTAGCACAATACAGTGTGCATGGTGTTTTACAAACTGTCCTAATGTCAAATAATTGGTTTAGGGTCATATTCTGCCCTCAGATACAACATGAGGAATAATGGTCTCAAGTTGCAGTGAGGGAGGTTTAGGTTGGATATTAGGAAAAACTTTTTCATGAAGGAGGGTGGTGAAGCACTGGAATGCGTTACCTAGGGAGATGGTGGAATCTCCTTCCTGAGAAGTTTTTAAGGTCAGGCTTGACAAAACCCTGGCTGGGATGATTTAGTTGGGGATTGGTCCTGCTTTGTGCAGGGGGTTGGACTAGATGACCTCCTGAGGTCCCTTCCAACCCTGATATTCTATGATTCTATGCAACTCCCATTAATTTCACCAAAGGCAGAACTGGGCCTTCTATGCTAAAATAATTTAGACACTTATTGTGCACCCAAACTTTGAGCACTAATTCAGAGGGTACATGAGTATTATATGATGATACCCTGCAGTTTGCTGCTGCTGTTGCCTTGAGTTTACTGGAGTTTAACATCAAGTTTCCCTTAGGTTGAGCACTTCCCCTTAGGGTGCACACATCAGAACTTGACAGTCCTTAGGAATCATACAAGCAGTAATGTGCAACCAACTGTTCTTGATGCCTTTTACAAGCTTTTTTGTGTGTGCCATAAGCATCTAAAGAGAAGCATTTTTCAGTTGTCCTTTTGCCTCTGTATTTTCTAACTTAAAGCCAAATACACCAGCATGGAACTTGTCTCACTGTATAATGCAGTAACAAGAGCTATTGCCCAAAAATTTTCTATTGGTGTGATACCCTGCTTTGAAGGATGTTTTCTCTGAGTTTATGAACAGTAGCAAGTAGGTGTTTGACAAACCATTAATACTGTACAGTAATAACATTTTGTGTTAATGGAAACATTTCACATTTGAAACCCACTTTAGTAACAAGTTTAAGGATGTGTGGTTCTCCAGACAGATCTATTTTTCACCACAACTGGGTTTACACATTTGGGAAACAGTGCTATTTTCATAAAAGCTTTTGTTCCCGCTACAGCAAATGTATCTGTTTTTTAATGTGTGTTTGTATATTTCCTCTTGGTTTTGGGTGTAATAGGTTTATCACGGTTCTCTTAAACACTTTCCAGTAAATATCAAGGGAAGAGTCAAAAGAGTAGCTGACAGACTATTCAATATTTAATTCCTTAGTTGGGAAAACAGAATTGTAACAATATTATAACAATGTCTGGAACAGTTAATAATAGGCTTATTTGCATATAGCCCAAATCTTTCCAGTCTAAATTCCTGTAGAATTTTAATTTAAACTGACATGCAAAAAGAAGATCCAATCAACCAACTTATATGAAATATTTTCAGAAAGAAACACATTATTATTAGTGTCAAGGGGTTTTCAAAGTGATAATTTTCTGGTTGAAGAAAATGATTGAGCCAAACTGAAGAACAATTAACAACAAGTGTTATCAGCCTTCCAGTTTACCCATGGTTCAAAATGTCTCCTCACATACATTCGGTTGAGGGCTGTGATAGTTTTAGGAACTTATTTGAAACATCATTCATAGACGGATGATTCTTCAGCCAGCAGAGTTTATCCTCCTTTCTTTCACAAAATATGTATAAAGGCTGAAGCTATTCTTGCTATTAAAATTATTATTTATGATTTATTTGTACTGCAGTACATTTTAGAAACCCTGGTAAGATCCCATTGTTCCAGGCTGTGTACAATTGTGTGGTAACAAAGCAATCTCTGCCTCCAAATGTCTAGGTAAATGACAAGACTCTGCAGACAGATGAGAACAAACGCACAAGGGTCGATTTATGTGGTATTTTAACATAGGTATTATCTGAAAAAGGTGTTTGGGAAAACACAGTAATTACAGTTGTATGCACCTAACCCAAGCCCTTCAGCAACATATGTATGGTTTGTTTTGCATATGATAGCAAAGGTTTTAAAGTGGGTTAAGATACGTTTTTAATGGAAATTTATGGGGCAGTTTTGTGGGAAATATTATGGGAAATATGTGTAGCTGCAGCCATAGTTACAGGTTTAAGTAGACAGCTGCCTAGGACATGATGCATAAGAGGACATCAGACTAGAACTGGGACAGTTTATGGCACTAGAGCTGGGTGGGAACTGGATTTTCCATTTTGCAGGAAATTCCGGGATTATATTTTCCCCCCCACTTTGAAAGGGAACAATTTGAAATTTCCCATCAAATAAAATTTCAAAAGAAAATTTGTTTTGGGTCAATCAAAACATTTGGATAAAATCCCAGTGATTCACTATAATATCAGTGTAGTACAGTATAGTATAAAAAAGTATGCCATCATAAAGAATTGAAATGAAAAATTGTTTCAAAATAGAAAATCGAAATGATCTATTCTAAAAAGATCAAACAGAACATTTTGACCATATCAGAATGCTCTATTCCGATTTTTTTTTCAAAATAAAGTGTCATCAAAATTGACATGCCTGTGAAACATTTCACTTTTGATGAATTGGTATTTTCCAGTGGAACAACCTTCTGTTGGAAAATTTCTGACCAGCTTTAATGCTCACTCTTAAACAAGCTAGTCTCAAAGTGGAGTTTCAGACCAGCTGCACTTCTATACCCCTCCAGCAGCTTGATCCTGGCAGATGATGAGCATTCTGCAGGTGCTGATCTGACCTCAATCCTGCAAAGCAATTAAGCATGTGCTTATCTTTAAGCATGGGAGTGACTTCACTGACTTCAAAGGGATTTCACTGGGGAAGCTTATGTGTTTACATTTAAGCATGAGTTGTAAGTGCCTTGCTGGGAACAAAGCCAGAATGCTTAGCACCCTGCAGGATAGCACTGTTTCTGCAGAACTGTGTGTGGTGGGCATCTTTTGGTCTCAGGTGCTCCTCTCTTTAACACAGCAGCAGTGGGTGCAAACTATTCTGGAGAATATCTGGAAACTAAAGTCAACCCTTGCAAATGACTGAGCAGACTCAGGGCCATCTTTTTGAAGGAGGAAGTGACCCAGGGCACTGAGTGGGTTAGTGTGAGCAGGGGAGCTAAAGAGCAGTGAGTCAGTATGTGATTTTGTGTTGGTGTCTTTGCCTACGGCACAAATGTACCTAAGCCAAACCCTGCCTAAGAGCAATCAATTGATGACTTCTAACAAAAACAGTTCCCTCAACACCATGAAGAGCTGAGGGCATGAACTGCACATATTCATCATGCACATTTTTTTTGAAGCTTTATGGATTGTCTTCTAGAAGCTCAAAAGCAATTTAAAGAAGTTTGCATATGTTTCGAGAACCACAGGCTAAGCATTACAACCCTGGTCAATACCACACATGTGTGCCCTAAATTATAGAACTAAAAACACTTTGCTATCATTCACATCAGTGCAAATGAAGGATGCCATTAATCTAGCTGCCTTTTTGTTGTTGTTATTGTGGTTACTCTCTATATTGGTGATAACCTTTTAAGGAATAGTATGAAACAACTTATATTTGACTATTGCATGTGCTAGGACAGGTGTTCCTTTTTCAAATACTATTAAGCACCCTAAACACTAAATTATATGTAAATGTTTAGACAATAAAAAACCCGACTATCCTGTGAAATACTTTATATTAGGCTGTCAAGTGATTTAAAAAAATTAATTATGATTAATTGTGCGATTAATCATGCTGTTAAACAATAATAGAATACCATTTATTTAAATATTTTTGGATGTTTTCTACATTTTCAAATATATTTATTTCAATTACAACACAGAATACAAAGTGTACAGTGCTCACTTTGTATTTATTTTTATTACAAATATTTGCACTGTAAAAAATAAAAGAAATAGTATTTTTCAATTCACCTCATACAAGTACTGTAGTGCAATCTCTATCATAACAGTTGTAGAATTATGTATAAAAATAACTTCATTCAAAAATAAAACAATATAAAACTTTAGAGCCTACAAGTGCACTCAGTCCTACTTCTTGTTCAGCCAATTGCTCACACAAATAAGTTTGTTTACATCTGCAGAAGATAATGCTGCCCGCTTCTTGTTTACAATGTCACCTGAAAGTGACAACAGACATTCACTTGGTACTGTTGTAGCCAGTGTTGCAAGATATTTATGTGCCAGATGTGCTAAAGATTCATATGTCTCTTCATGCTTTAACCACCATTCCAGAGGACATGCGTCCATGCTGATGACAGATTCTGCTCAATAACAACCCAAAGCAGTGCAGACTGTTCCATGTGCATTTTCATCATCTGAGTCAGATGCCACCAGCAGAAAGTTGATTTTCTGTTTTGGTGGTTCAGGTTCTGTAGTATCCGCATCAGAGTGTTGCTATTTTAAGATATCTGAAAGCATGCTCCACACCTCCTCCTGCTCAGATTTTGGAAGGCACTTCACATTCTTAAACCTTGGGTTGAGTGCTGTAGCTATCTTTAGAAATCTCACATTTGTACCTTCTTAAAACAAACAGCATGTGCTGGGTCATCATCCGAGGCTGCTATAACATGAAATATATGGCAGAATGCAGTTAAAACAGAGCAGGAGTCATACAATTCACCCCCATGGAGTTCAGTCACAAATTTAATTAACACATTTTTTTACCAAGCGTACTCAACATAGAAGTATGTCCTCTGGAATGGTGGCCAAAGCATGAAGGGGCATATGAATGTTTAGCATATCTGGCATGTAAATACCTTGCAATGTTGGCTATAAAAGTGCTATGGGAATGCCTGTTCTCACTTTCAGGTGACATTGTAAATAAGACGTGGTCAGCATTATCTCCTGTAAATGTAAACAAACTTGTTCGTCCTAGCGAACAGCTGAACAAGAAGTAGAACTGAGTTGACTTGTAGGTGTTAAAGTTTTACATTGTTTTGTTTTTGAGTGCAGTTATATAACAAAAAAAAATCTGTATTTGTAAGCTGCACTTTCATAATAAAGAGATTGCACTACAATACTTGTATGAGGAGAATTTAAAAATACTACTTTTATCATTTTTACAGTGCAAATATTTGTAATAAAAAATAAATATAAAGTGAGCACTATATACTTTGTATTCTGTGTTGTAATTAAAATCAATATATTTGAAAATGTAGAAAAACATCCAAAAATATGTAATAAATTTCAATTGGTATTTTATTGTTTAACTGCGATTAAAACTGCCATTAACTGCAATTAATTTTTTTTAATCACGATTAATTTTTTGAGTTAATCACATGAATTAACTGCGATTAATTGACAGCCCTACTTTATATGCCATACAGTATACTTTAAAAAACAGATTTTAATGTTCTTTAAGGTGGCTAATTAATTTACACTTTAAAATAGTATTTTAAGATGGCTATCACTGACACATTTTTCCAGTGGATTTAAGCAAGATATGAATTTGGCCTCTTGGGCCAATGTGAAAGGCAACCATAAAGTATGCAACATTGAGATGAGCCTGATGGCCTCAGGGGAAAATAGTTCAGCTCAACATCTCTTCTGTGGCTTCATCTGTACAGAGGGAAAAAGGAAGCACAACTAGGAATAGACATTCTAGTGAGTGTGTTAAACCACTAGGCATGCACTGTGAATGCTGAACCCCTGACATGTACATACTCAGAACATCTAGATTTAAATTGGACTGGGCAGAACTAGTGTCTGCATTTTAGGATGGTTCTGCAAAATAATGTTTTGCTGCCCCTCCAACCCTTTAGCCTAAATGTAATGAATTCCTTTCCACTATGATCATACCAGTCCCATGCAGACTAGTTAAGAAAGGAGGCAGGAATCTCAAGGACAGATAGAGCACTGGCAACCAAGTGGGCAAATCCAGGGAGGGCTTGCACGGATGCCTCTGCTCTGTTGGCAATGTCAAAACTGGCCTCTGTTGAGTTTAGTTCAATTCCAAGGGTGTATCTACACTTCAAACTGGGGATGTGATTCCCAGTTTGAGAAGACGTATTCACACCAGCTGTGATTGAGCTACGGCTCTAAAAGTTAGATTGTAGCTATGGCAGTGTGAGTGACAGGAGGGGCTAGCCACCCTGCGTACATGCCTCTGGTCTCAAATGGGTACATACTTGGGGCAGCTAGCCCTTTCCAATGCTCATGCTGGCACAGCTTACTCTATTTTTAGCGCCCTATCTTGATCAGAGTATGTGTCTTTGAGCTGGGAATAACGCCACCAGCTCAGAGTGTAGACATACCCCAAGTGACACACATTTGGACTAGATCCTCATGTGGGGTGCTAACAAAATTACATGAATCTTAATTGCTGGAGGCTACAAACAGATTTCTAGGCCTAATCTCCAGCAGGCTATCGTTCTAGCATCAGCAGTCCAGAATTCAGATGCATTCTTCTGTCTGGATTTTGGGAGAGCATTCTCTGTGTTGAAATGTATGTATTCCTTTGCCACATACATCATAAGTGAGAATTTGCCTGCTTTCTCCTGAATGGGAAGGATTAGTAGGACGCTACAAGAAATAGAGACACATTCCATCTAAATAAGCAATGATATTGTCTCTTTGGATTATTGTTCAAGCTGTTTTCTCCACAGTACATTATTTGTTGTGGTGACTCTTTATACATTATTAAGTAATTTATTCTCATTCTGAAGTCTGCAACACTTAAATGGGAAAAAAAGCCCTCAAAGTATGGTAGGTATTTATATAGGAAGAATAAGAACCTCTATTTAATCTAGTTCTGCTAGGATCAATATTGCATTAGTTCAGTGTGTTAAGGCTTACATGTTGTGAAAGAAAATTCAGTACCTCTTTGTATCACGTTTTGCAAAGCTTTTGGCTCCTGAATCTACAGAGCTAGCAAAGAGAATAGCACTGTGATATCTAGAGGCAATATTCAGAAGAATGAAATGCAGAATTAACAAGTATGTTTTAAAAATTATAAGCCAGTGAGTCACGGTGAATCTTAAAGTATGAGTCTACTTTAAACAAAGTTCTCTTCTGTTTGCCATTTCAAAGGGTCCTCCCCTGCAGGAAACGGGGGAGGGGACCTCTGAGTGCCATAACATAGAGGCCACATCTCTCCTGTTCTCTTGTAGTCTTCAGCAAAGTCAGTGGCTACAGTGATCAAAGGCCATAGTGGGAAGGAGCAGGGTCACAGCTGTTTGCCCATCCGAGAAAAAAAAGACAACAAAGGGTCAAGCTATATTCAGACTGAAGAGATTTTGTTTTTTAAAGAGTAGTACAGCTAGTGCTCTAGAAGAACAGCTTTCTCATTTCAAATAATAAGATCATAAGTGGTTTCATGGTTTCCAGGGCAGGAAAGAATTCAATTTATGTCCTCTGCAGCATGTTCCATTACATCCATACATCCAGAGCAGCCATGGTGAAAAAAGGGTCTGAGTTGGCTGGTGACTATTATTTTAAATGTGATGGCATTGCCAAGGCAACTGGAAGCTGATTCTATAAGAGACTGTGGCCAGAAGATAGAGAAAAAATAAAACCCTACATTGGCAGAAGGGGCTACATCATCTAAGCTGCTTCCTTCTGGCAGCAATGGCCTAGTAGAGAAGCGTGGCTGGCAGTGAAGGTTATTCCAAGTGGAAACTGTTTTATTTGCTGGCAAAGCCCAGTAAGTTTCTAGAGAAATTATGTTAGCTGATGCTTTTCCTCGCATATTTAATAATTAAGCTTCGTAAACGTTTTAAGTTTTAAACTGAAAACTAACCAGACTTCCAACAATGATGATGCTGGGCAGTGTGTTAATTTAGTTCTGGAAGGCTGAAGGTGTGGGTTTTGTGGCCTGCCAGTATTATAGGTAAGTTTTTGCAGAGTATCTAGTACTCTATTCAATGTTTGCTAGCAGAGATTTGTCACTATTCAGCAGTTTATGGCTCTATCCAAGAGGGATGCACAAGTACAGGAAGGCCTTATATATTGGCTGTGCGGTAGCCAGATTAGTCAAGGGGGGAAATTGTCACACTTGCACAAGCCAAGCAGGAAAATATCAGGATTTGTTTTTTAACTTTCAAACTGTAATGAATATCTCTAAGGAATTCAGGTGGGGGAAATGTTCATACTTCATTTTTTTTTTTCGTTGCCAGTGTCTGAGTGAAGGGAAGAAAATCGCTGCTAGAATCTGTTAAAAGCTTAAATAGGAAGAGACTCATTGATCACTATGTAATGGCAAGAGAAAAAACATTTTTCTAAATTTGCTGAAAAACTAATGACAGGTTGCCTGCAAACCTTGGGCAGTAAGTGCGTGATTCTGCAAGGTGGTGAGTGGACTCAGTGCCCTTTACTTTAGGAAAAATTCACATTGTTCAGCACCTTGTAGGCTGGGTTTGCAGACTAGGCCACTCAGAGCCCCTTATTATCAATAGGTGCTTTAATCGCATGTCAATATTTCTGCTTCTTTGTGCATGTAATTTTGTACATCATTGCCCATGACGGACCACTTTAAAAACTGTACCTTTTGAAAAATCTAGCCCTATATTTAGCTTTATCTGTTATCTGGAACATTGTACCAGTGAGATTATTATGGCAGGATGAGCAATTTACTGTTCATTACTAAGCTATTGAAGAGACAGTAATTTTAAACTGTTGCAGGGACTCCCTATTTCCTGCTGAGGGATCTCTTCGGTGGGCTATTGTATTGACCCTTATTGTTGTAGGAGAAAGGTAGTGAACTGTTATGCTTTGTTTCTTTTCAGTTGGCCCCCACATAGGGCGTTATTGTGGACAGAACACACCAGGCCGAGTGCGCTCTTCAACTGGAATCCTTTCAATGGTTTTTTATACCGACAGTGCGATAGCAAAAGAGGGATTCTCAGCAAACTACAGCATCTTACAGAACAGTGTCTCAGAAGGTCAGTGTTTATCTATCCTGCAGGGCTTTGTGGTAAATATTCTGTTATGTCTTCTTGCACAATGTATGCCCTATGAAACATTTAAGAAGCTTTACATAATAAGAATGTTGGGATTTTTTGTTTTGTTTTTAAGCAGGTAACCTTTGAATATCAATGTGAGGAGAAGACACTTCCTCATGGTTTTATTTTTTAATAAAGTCAAGAAGGCAGAAGAATTGTTATAAATAACTAAGATGGAAGAGTAAACCTGGGACTGATGAGCAGTGGAAGCATTGCACTGAAACAATGAAATATGAACAAGGCTTGCACCCTTCAAAAACTCATATTCTTCTTTTGTTACAAGAAGGAGTGGGCTTTGATGATCAAGTTCCTAGGTGAAAAGGACTGATTTACCATACATTGCCTTCCTCAAACCATATCAAAAGAAATCTTTTGCATTATTCTGAAACCTGTGACAGATTTCTCTCCCAAATGTCAATCTCAAATCTCTTCAGTGCTTACCCTCACAACACAGCCTGAAATGTTTAATGGAGACCTCACATTACACCACAGCATTGTAGACTTCCTTGTTTGGTTTGAACTTAAAACAAAGGGACCTCTTAGGTTTCAGGCTTTTTTAAATCAAACCTCTCCTCTTTGTCCCAGCTAATGAGGTCCAAACATTAACCCAGAATGAATGTAACACTCCCTCAAAGACGAATGAAGAGTTACCTTGCATAGAGTGAAATTCTCTCCCTTCTGAATGTGAAATCTAAGTAAATGGACCAGAAGCCAACCCAACCTGCAGGGAGGATATAAAGCACCCTACTCCACCCCTTAGACTGGAGCTGTGGCTTCTATCCCTGTACACGCTGAATGTGGGATATTCTGGCCACTTGGTGTATGTTGTTTTAGATTCATTGGCCTCTTACTAAGGTGCAGGAGATGTATCATATCCCTATGCCCCTGCTCCACAGCCACCTTCCTTCTGTTTATGGAACCACTGTTTTGGAACCTTCTACTATCGTGGGTTAATTTTACCCTTAAAATACAGTGCAGTCAAAACGTTAGGGCTTGTCTATACTTAAAACGCTGCAGCAGCATAGCTACACTACCTTAGTGCTTCAGTGGAGACATTAGCTACACCGACAGGTGGTCTTCTCCTGTCAACGTAAGTACTCCACTCTATGAGAGGTGGTAGTTAGGACGATGGGAGAATTCTGGGGGTTAGTTTAACTGTGTTGCTCAGGGATGTGGACTTTTCATACCCCTGAGCAATGTAGTTAAACCAGCCTAACTGCCTAGCATGGACCAGGCCTAAGTATGTGTATATATATGCACATTTGTTCACAGTGAAATAGTGAAACCTATTTTTACTGACCACAGAAGCAGATTTCTTGTTGAATCCATGCTAATAGGGTGTGTCTTTGTTCCCTCTAGTGGCTAAACCACATATAGAGTCTGCTACTGGCTCCAAGCTAAGGGAACCGCTCCTTTACCTCAAACAGTCATTACTGCTGTCAGCTGAGATTCCAGGGGCTCCCATAAAGTACTGTGGTCAGGGTCGGGTTCATTTTTTGTGGGCTTGGTGACAAACATATTTGTGGGCCCCCTTGGGGCATGGTGCTGGGGGGCGGGGTGGTGTCCCTGGAGCGAGGAGCTGGCCAGTGGTAATGGGGCACAGTGTGGCGGGGATGGCCCCGCTCCATCCATCCCAGTGCATGGGCACTGTTTACAACCAGCAGCAGCTGCCAGGTGCACACTGGCCTGCCCTGTCCCCTTGGGGTGAGCCCATGCCATACACCACACCACCTCCCTACCCAGCACCCCTCAACCGAGAGACACCCACCCCACAGACTCCTATGCCCTGTGTTCCCCAGCTGAAATCCCCTACAGACCCATATGCCCAGTGCCGCCCAGAGCTGCTATGCCAAGTGCCCCCCCGCCCAGAGACCCTACAAACACACTCCTCACCGCAAATGCATAGCGTCCCACACAAACCCCTCACTGCCCAGCACCCTCCAACGCATACATGCCCCTTTGCCCAGAGTCCCCCCGATGCCCCACTGCCCAGTGATCTCCCCACAGCCCCACAATCACAACTGCACAGCATCCCACACAAACCCCCACTGCCCATTGCCCCAATACACCCAGACTTCCCCCACCCCTCTATGACCAGCACTCCCACACAATCGCCCCCACTGCCCAGGCCCCAAAACACACATCTCTCCCTTCCCCCTCCCCCGATGCACTCACCAGCCCCACTGGGAGGTGACCATATCTGCTGTGCTGAGCCAGCAGCATGGCTCGGGTCGGTCCAGCCCCTTGGGAGCAACGTGGTCAGCCAGGCTGGAGCGGGAGCAGAGCCTGCCCAGGCCAGGCTCTCTCCGGACCCACTTGCCTGGTAGAGCCCAGCCATGCCCCCTCACTCCTGTGCTGCTCCCCCTGCCATTGGCTGAGACTTGCCCAGTCTCTGCACCAGTCCCAGGCATCTCAGCCCCGGGGAGGCGCAGAGGGTCCGACAGCTGGTGGACAGCAGAGACCAGTCAGAGCCAGAGCTGCACTGGGGAGTGGAGCAGACCCCACCCCTGGATGCAACCCCCAAGAGCCTGCCAGGCCCGGCCACACCCACCGGCCCCGCGGCCAGGAGTCCTGCCCATCCCGCATAGCGGAGCCCAGCAGCTGGGTGGCGAGCCCCCTACAGGCAAGCAGGACTTGCTGGCTGGGAGTTACTCACACACACTCACACACTGGCCTGGGTGCTGGACTGCCCTGAGTGAGGTGCCAGATCCAGATGTATGGATGGATTAGATAGGTCTATAATGGGCCCCTTCAAAGTGTGGGCCTGGCGCCACTGGCACCATTGTAAACCTGGTACAGACTTTGGTGGCTCAGGATTTGGGGAGAATGTGGTATATCATGGGTAGGGTGACCAGGTGTCCGGTTTTTGACCGGAATACCCAGTCAAAAAGGGACCCTGGTGGCTCCAGTCAGCACCGCTGAATGGACTGTTAAAAGTCCAGTCGGCGGTGCTGCGACACTAAGGCAGGCTAGTCCCTACCTGTCCTGGCTGACACCGAGCTGTGCCCCGGAAGCAGCTAGCAGGTCTGGCTCCTAGGCGCGGGGGGAGGCCATGGGGCTCCACGCGCTGTCCCTGCCCCGAGCACCAGCTCTGTACTCCCATAGGCCAGTTCCCAGCCAATGGGAGCTGGTGGGGGCAGTGTCTGTGGGCAAGAGTGGCGTGTGGAATGAGTGAGTGTAGTGAGTGGGGGCATATACCCCACCATGAAAATATGTCTCAAACCTGTCTGGAGTAATTTCTCCATGGCCTAGTCCCCATGGCCCATTCAGCCTTTGGGCAGTCTGTAAAGACTACTAACTAGACAGCCAATTAATGCTAAATTGTCATGGTAATGTTTGTGTCTATGGAGATTGGATGGGGACCATCAATTCATGGAATATACAACTAGTTATCAAAGAAATGGTAACTCCTTTTAGTCATTAAACACCTGGGCTGGATTCAAACCTGGTTTGTTTTCCTCAATATCCCGGGTGTGGGAAGAATAGATGGACTTTGTAATAATACATTTTAAAGTATTTTTATACTTGATTCTAATACATTACCAATTGTCATATATTACAAATTTTGATGTGACTTCTGACTTGTTTGCTCCAGTTCTGTGTGTAATTATAGGTTAAGCATACATTGTTTTATGTTATAAATCCACCCACAGAAGTATTTTTCTATCCTAGGAAAGAGAATTTGATTGTCCTGTATTGAAATGGCTACAATGCTGGGCTAAAAATATTTGTACAGCATTATTATTGCAGGAATTGCCATGACAACTCAAGTGACAGCGTTAAGAATGACACTACAAGCCCAGTACTGCCTCAGTGAAAGTTGCTAAAGAATTCAAAATCACATATAAAAAAAAATCTTTAGGTTTTCATATTCAGAACAGGAAAACATGTTCTCATTATCCTGAGACTAAACTGAAATAGCTGACTATAGTAATTATGGTAATTTATTTTTCTTCAGATTTCCAGTGCATGGAACCACTAGGTATGGAATCAGGAGAAATTCACTCTGACCAAATCACTGTCTCCTCCCAGTATAGCACCAACTGGTCTTCAGAAAGGTCCCGGCTAAATTACGCTGAAAATGGATGGACCCCTGGAGAAGATTCCAGTAGAGAATGGATACAGGTAAGAAGACAATACAGAGACAATATTAATAAAACTCTGTGGAGTGAATTCAAGTTGGCAATGGAAAATGTAAAGAATATACAAAATAATACAGTAAAATATTTCTGCATAATGTAAGAACTGTAGCAAGTGAATATCTTACATTCCCTGTTATACACACACAAAAAAGACTGACTCCCGAAGGTATAACAAAGAAAAGGTCAAGAAGATTAATTCTTTTGCTTCCTGCGTCTATTGTTTTTTCAGTCTTCTGGGCACAAATAACAGAGATTTTGGTTTAGTGGAAAAGTCAATATTAGTTTAACATACACTTAAAGTGAAATGGTCCAGTAAACTGAGCATGTGCTATCCCTCTAACTGATAATACTTAGAGTTATGTGATACCATGCTTTAATGGACTAGAATTTCACCTCTAAAGGCCTGAATCCAATTCTAGATTATGTCAGAAATGAAATGAGTTCACTGTTCCCAATCTTGCCCTTAGTAACTATTCTTCCATATCACAAAACAGAACATTCTTTAGTATGACTGGTAATCTTGTCGCCAAAGAACTATTGATATAAGCCCTGGTCCTGCAAACACTTATGTACCTGAGTACTCTCATTGGGTTCAGTGGGACTACTCATGTTTTAAAGTATTTGCAAGATCAGGTCAATAGTTCGCTGGTCACATTGTTCCTGAACAAGTTAGATGTATTCATATTAATTATTGTGGAATAAAACCAAATAAATTCATTTTAGAAGACTAATACTAATATCACACACACACACACACAAAAATACAAACTTATCTGCATTATTTATTAGAATCTTTTTCACTTCTTGCCTTAATTGTGATCCAAACTCTCTTGCTGACAGCAACAGCCAGACGTTTCACTTATGTCAGATTAATAATGCTGTATTTAAGGCTTACAGCAGTTTAAATATGTGGAGCTCTCTTTCTGCTTCTGTTGTTTTCCATAGGAAATTACTAACTGACATATAAAAACAATGCATCATTAGCCATCAACAAGAATGTTCACGTTGGTGCTTCCTGTGAGGTTTGCTGTGTGCAAGGAAGCTTAAAAGCATGTTGAGCAGTAGTCAGTAAGGGGAAGCAAGAAAGGAAAATTCTTACATTTCTGATTCTTTGCACACAATGGGACTCTCAAGAGGCCTGCTTAAGAGGCCCAGACATATCCTGAATTGCTGGAAACTTGCTAATTGTAAGTGATGGACTCAGTAATATTGGAATGTGGCAAAAAAGCAGTTGATTCTTATTCCCTTAATTAGCCATAAATAAGAGTTAAAACCCTCCCAATCTTTACCTAAGAAGTAATACGCTTGGTATTAATCAATGCTTCTTGAAATCCATGGAATGTGTGTGGGAAAAGAGTGGAATGCATCAGAATCAAATTTCACGTGTTTCATCTGTTTTTATGGCTGCCTTTCTTTCTTTCTGTCACTTACGCATTTGTTGCTGCATAATCAAAACAAGCAGTTAATCAAATCTAATTCATGTGGCCTATGTACTTTATTCACTTATAGTAACTATAGAGAGAGAGTTTAATCCCTTAACTGAAGAACTAGATCTTTCCAGGAAAAAGCTTTTTTTTGTTTTGTTTTATTTTTTAATAACAAAAATCTAACGAAATGGACTCAGTCATAAACTGCTCTAACCTTTATGCTTGGGACAGCTGATGGGGGGGGGGGGGAACGATAGGAGGGTGATGGCTTTAAGACACCTTTCCATTACCCCGAACCTGGCATACCCAGGGACAGAAAAAGCTCCAACATAATTTAGCGTGGCCTCAGGCTGCAGCCCACGGCTATGCCAGCCAACAAACTGGTGGAGTGCCGTGTGCTCCATACTGGCACACTGTCAGCTGACCTCTCCCAGGCCCTACCTATATCTGAATATAGCCTCAGACAATTTTCCCCATGTGCTAGGGTCTCCAGGGGGACTTATCTCTCTGAAGCAGAATTAATCCTAGAGCCATCTGAGCCAAAACAGCTCCCAGTGCAGGGCTGTGTTTTGTTGACACGATTGAGCCCATAACATAAAATCCTGTTTAAAGATTTGTTACAGTACATACGAAAACTCCTGTCAAGGTTCCTCCCCCATTCTGAACTCTAGGGTACAGATGTGGGGACCTGCATGAAAAAACCTCCTAAGCTTATCTTTACCAGCTTAGGTCAAAACTTCCCCAAGGTACAAAATATTCCCCCCGTTGTCCTTGGACTGGCCGCTACCACCACCAAACTAATACTGGTTACTGGGGAAGAGCTGTTTGGACGCGTCTTTCCCCCCAAAATACTTCCCAAAACCCTGCACCCCACTTCCTGGACAAGGTTTGGTAAAAAGCCTCACCAATTTGCCTAGGTGACTACAGACCCAGACCCTTGGATCTTAAGAACAATGAACAATCCTCCCAACACTTGCACCCCCCCTTTCCTGGGAAATGTTGGATAAAAAGCCTCACCAATTTGCATAGGTGACCACAGACCCAAACCCTTGGATCTGAGAACAATGAAAAAGCATTCCGTTTTTTACAAGAAGACTTTTAATAAAAAATAGAAGTAAATAGAAATAAAGAAATCCCTCCTGTAAAATCAGGATGGTAGATATCTTACAGGGTAATTAGATTCAAAAACATAGAGAACCCCTCTAGGCAAAACCTTAAGTTACAAAAAAGATACACAGACAGAAATAGTTATTCTATTCAGCACAATGCTTTTCTCAGCCATTTAAAGAAATCATAATCTAACACATACCTAGCTAGATTACTTACTAAAAGTTCTAAGACTCCATTCCTGGTCTATCCCCGGCCAAGACGACTACAGACAGACACAGACCCTTTGTTTCTCTCCCTCCTCCCAGCTTTTGAAAGTATCTTGTCTCCTCATTGGTCATTTTGGTCAGGTGCCAGCGAGGTTACCTTTAGTTTCTTAACCCTTTACAGGTGAGAGGAGCTTTCCCCTGGCCAGGAGGGATTTCAAAGGGGTTTACCCTTCCCTTTATATTTATGACACGCCCCCCAAATCGCAGCTAGGGTGAAACACTGGCTGGGATTTCTTCCTGGAGCTCTAGGAAAAACAGAGTTAATAAGACATATGCATCTCTAAATATACTACCAAGTACATAAAGACTAACAATATTTTCCACATCTCAAGGACGATTTTAACCAGTTGACTCTGGGAAACTTTCACGGGAGAGTGCATCAGCCACTTTGTTAGAAGCTCCTGAGATGTGTTGGATGTCGAAATCAAAATCTTGGAGAGCTAAACTCCACCGAAGAAGTTTTTTGTTAGTTTCCTTGACAGTGTGAAGCCACTTCAGTGCAGCATGGTCGGTTTGCAGGTGGAAACGCCGTCCCCAAACATATGGACGTAGCTTTTCCAGAGCATAGACAATGGCGTAACATTCTTTTTCAGTGACTGACCAGTTGCTTTCCCTCTCAGACAGTTTTTTGCTGAGAAACACTACAGGGTGGAATTCTTGATCAGGGCCTTTCTGCATTAAAACTGCTCCCACACCACGCTCGGACGCATCTGTGATTACTAGGAACGGTTTGTCAAAGTCTGGGGCCCTGAGTACAGGGTCAGACATGAGTGTCGCTTTAAGCTTCTTAAAGGCCTTCTGACACTTTTCGGTCCACTGAACAGCATTTGGCTGTTTCTTTTTGGTTAGGTCTGTCAGTGGGGCAGCGATTTGGCTGTAGTGCGGTACAAATCGTCTGTAATAACCGGCCAAGCCTAAGAAGGATTGAACCTGTTTCTTTGACTTTGGGACAGGCCACTTTTGGATAGCATCCACTTTGGCCTGTAGGGGGCTGATAGTTCCTTGACCCACCTGGTGTCCAAGGTAAGTCACTCTGTTTAGGCCTATTTGACACTTCTTAGCCTTAACAGTTAGTCCTGCCTCCCTTATGCGCTCAAGGACTTTTTGCAGATGTTCCAGGTGGTCTGCCCAGGAATCCGAAAATATGGCCACATCGTCAAGGTAGGCGACTGCATATTCTCCTAATCCCGCTAGGAGACCATCTACAAGTCTTTGGAAAGTGGCGGGTGCATTTCGCAGCCCGAAAGGGAGTACATTAAATTCATACAGCCCGAGATGTGTGATGAAGGCTGACCTTTCCTTAGCAGATTCATCTAGCGGTACCTGCCAGTACCCCTTGGTTAAGTCCAAGGTAGAGATGAACTGGGCCCGTCCCAGTTTCTCTAATAGTTCATCTGTGCGTGGCATTGGATAGTTGTCTGGGCGAGTTACAGCATTTAGCTTACGGTAGTCCACGCAAAAACGTATTTCCCCATCTGGTTTGGGAACTAGAACCACTGGAGATGCCCATGCACTTTCAGAGGGGCGGATTACCCCCATCTGTAACATATCCTGGATCTCCCGTTCTATAGCAGTTTTAGCTTGAGGAGACACCCGGTAAGGTTGGACCCTAATTGGGTGAGCATTACCTGTGTCAATGGAGTGGTATGCCCGTTCAGTCAGTCCTGGGGTGGCTGAGAACGTTGGCGCGTAGCTAGTGCACAGCTCCTGGATCTGCTGTCGCTGCATACGCCCAAGGGTCATGGAGAGGTTCACCTCTTCCACACCACCAGCACATTTCCCTTCGTAGTAGACACCTTCAGGCCACTCAGCGTCGTCTCCTCCCTGGGCTGTAAACTGACAAACCTTTAATTCTCTGGAATAAAAGGGCTTTAGAGAATTAATATGGTACACCTTAGGCTTTCGGTTGGAGGTGGGGAATGCTATGAGATAATTAACAGCTCCCAGGCGCTCCTGGACCATGAATGGCCCTTCCCACGATGCTTCCATTTTATAGGCCTGGAGCGCCTTTAAGACCATGACCTGGTCTCCTACTTTGAAGGAACGCTCTCTGGCATGTTTATCATACCAGGCTTTTTGCTCTTTTTGAGCATCCTGTAAGTTTTCTCTAGCAAGGGCTAAAGAGGTTCGGAGGGTGTTTTGTAGGTTGGTTACAAAGTCCAGAATGTTAGTTCCTGGAG